CGAGGGTTTCATTCAGATTCAAGAGTTTTTCAAGAGCATTCAGTTCGTAGTTAGTTCTCAGTGCAGAAGAGGCGGGCTCTAGATGGTCACCGACACTCTGCAGAGTGATGATGCTTTTTATAATCCAGATAGATAAGATGAACCGATACTGATAGTCTCTTGATATGCTGATATCAGATTGGATCAGATCTGTTGGATTAACAGATCCTGGATCAGATTCGAAAAGATCTAAAAAGAATCTAAAAAGATCAGGAGTCAAAACTTCATCGTCTCTGTGATGTTGACAACAACAACATCAACGTGACCAACAAGTTACACAAACAGCCCCCCCCCCCCAAATATTCAGAGAATTCCTCTCTCAGAATGAAACAGTGTTCACAGACGCCTCCTCTCATTCCTGACAGCTCGTTAATATTCATCACGTCTGTTTCTGATTATTCTCCTGACGTGAAGCTGATCTGATGTGTGTGTGTTCATCAGAGGTCAGAGGTCAGAGATCTGTTGTGTGTGTGTTCATCAGAGGTCAGAGGTCAGAGATCTGATGTGTGTGTGTTCATCAGAGATCTGTGTGTGTGTGTGTGTTCATCAGAGATCAGAGATCTGTGTGTTCATCAGAGATCTGATCTGATGTGTGTGTGTTCATCAGAGATCTGATCTGATGTGTGTGTGTTCATCAGAGATCTGTGTGTGTGTGTGTGTTCATCAGAGATCTGTGTGTGTGTGTTCATCAGAGATCGTGTGTGTGTGTGTTCATCAGAGATCTGTGTGTGTGTGTGTTCATCAGAGATCTGTGTGTGTGTGTGTTCATCAGAGATCTGTGTGTGTGTGTGTTCATCAGAGATCTGTGTGTGTGTGTGTGTTCATCAGAGATCTGTGTGTGTGTGTGTGTGTTCATCAGAGATCTGATCTGTGTGTGTGTGTTCATCAGAGATCTGATCTGTGTGTGTGTGTGTTCATCAGAGATCTGTGTGTGTGTGTGTTCATCAGAGATCTGTGTGTGTGTGTGTTCATCAGAGGTCAGAGATCTGTGTGTGTGTGTGTTCATCAGAGATCTGTGTGTGTGTGTTCATCAGAGGTCAGAGATCTGTGTGTGTGTGTGTTCATCAGAGATCTGTGTGTGTGTGTGTTCATCAGAGATCTGTGTGTGTGTGTTCATCAGAGATCTGTGTGTGTGTGTGTTCATCAGAGATCTGTGTGTGTGTGTGTTCATCAGAGATCTGATCTGTGTGTGTGTGTTCATCAGAGATCTGTGTGTGTGTTCATCAGAGATCTGTGTGTGTGTGTGTGTGTGTTCATCAGAAATCTGTGTGTGTGTTCATCAGAGGTCAGAGGTCAGAGATCTGATCTGTGTGTGTTCATCAGAGGTCAGAGGTCAGAGATCTGATCTGTGTGTGTTCATCAGAGGTCAGAGGTCAGAGGTCAGAGATCTGTGTGTGTGTCGTCTAAGCCGCCCCTCGTCCTTCCAGCGTCATCACGTCGGCCTTGATGATTGGTCGGATTTGATGTCTGTGGATTTGAACCCTGGCTGCACGCTTGGAGGACTACAGACTCTCTCACTAACCACTTGGCCTCCTGCACCCTGTCTGTTCAATCTGTTTGATTTGTACTCTTCCTCCTCTCACAAACGTTTAGACTGTAAACAGCTCGTGGTGCCTTCAGGCTCTCGTAGATTTGAACTCTCGACCCCGTGTGTGTGTCAGAGCTGCACCCAGACGCAGCGACACAAAGGCCTCATTCACACACGATCACCTCTGTTGTGTTTGTTGTCAGGTGTGTCCGCTCATGAATGAAACTCCCGACACGCGCCGCCCGTTACACATTCCTCTCGCTGCCGTCTGATGACATCACAGCCTCTTGTTTATCTTTATGATGTCATGTGAGTTTATACATCATGTTTATACATGATGTGCTGCTGGGAGACTCTACTGGTTTCCAGTTTGATCCGGATCATCAGTCTGACCCCGAACCAGTTGGTGAAGGTCACCACAGAAATATCCATTATAACCAGAAGAGGAGACAGGAGAGGAAGTCTCATATCTGGTAAACTGAGGGGCGTCCAAAACGGCCATGTGGGGGCGTGTCTTAAAAGCGCCTACCTTCTCTGGTCCAAACAAATCCAGAGCATTCAGGAGCAGAATCTAAAGTTAGAAGGAGGACATACTGGCTGCTGCATTGTTGTCAGAGAAGATGTTTCCTTAATGATCAGATAGTAAGATACCTTCATCATCTCACTCTCTACACAGCTCACTGATTGGACCTTTGAGCTTTTGAAGCGCTTTTATTATGAAAGAGTCATATCAGGAAATGTGGCGTTTTCAGCAGCAGAACTTAGAACCGAACAGATTCAGTCAGAAGCTGCTGAACATATCCCATCAAACAGGCGTGTTTGGGGGGGGGGTCGTAGTGTGTGAATCTGTGTCCATGTGCTCAATCCCTTTAATACTGTAACCATAACGTTTCCACAAAAAGTTAATTTTTACGTTTCAGCAGAAGTTTAAATAGCCGATGATTCTGTTGTTAAAGAATGTGATTATCTCTTACACAGGAACACACAGCTGGTGTTACTCTGTGTTAAATACATTCATGTGGAGGGTTCAGAGTAGTGGTGGGCGATATAACGATCTTAGATCGTGAAGGATTTTAACGTGCTGACGATCTGCCAAAGCAGAGAGATCGTAGAACCAGGCTAAAGTGTTTATTCTCTCATGCTGCAGTTTATGCTCCCACACAGACGCGTCTCCCCTCCCCCTCTGCTCCGCCGAGGTGAAAACGAAAACTAAACTTAAAAGTAAAGTCCAGAAACACAAGAACTCAAAGTCTACATGTTTTTAAATGAATGCATCACTGTGTGAAAATGTTCCTGATGAACATAAAAAGAGGACACATAACTAAATCATCATTTCAAAGTGGTGAGGAAAACCTTCAAATTGTTCATAAATATTGATCAAATTGAGAGAAAGACATTTCTGTTGTTAAAGATGTTCTGGGTGAGAGACCTCCTGACCTCCTACAAAGATGTTTTTCAAATAGATTAAACTTGTCAGCACAGTTTTGTGCATTTAAAAACATTAAACAGGTAAATAAGTTTGGTTGAACTGGTCAGTAACTTACAAATTAGTGTTAAGATCAGTATGAAAAAAATCGTGATAAAATCGTGATCGTGCCAAAAAAAAAAATGTGATATGATGTTTTTCCCATATCGCCCACCTCTAGTTCAGAGTGTTTTCTAACTCCTGCTCTACAAGTCTTTAAATGTGTGTAGTTTTCAGGAGGGAACCTGAATCGGGTGCAGAGTCATAAAACCTGTGAGACAGAGAGCGATAACTCGCTGACTGACTGCTTTGACTTTGACTTCAGGTTAGAGAAGAACGAGTGAAGCATGCTGGGAGTTATTCAAAATGAACTGAAACTCTGTTACAACACTGAAAATGATTTGTTTGTAGGTCCTCTAGCTTCCACACACACACACACACACACACACACACACACACACAGTTAATAGCTGAAGCCCCCAGAGTTGTGTCCCACATCAGTCGGCTGAGGGGAAACTTATTTGGTAATTATCCTCTGAGCGCAGAGATAAATGTAGCTGCCAAAGAAGAGGGAGGGGGAGGCTGCTACTGAGCTGCTGCAGAGAGGGGGGGGGGGGGGGGGCGTCTGCAGGGGAGAGAGAGGAAAGAAGACGACAGGAGGACAGAGAGAAAGCAGAACAGTGCAGTTAGAGGGATTGATTGAATAAATGCAGAGAGAGAGAGAGAGAGAGGTTTAGAATTACTGCTGAGTAGAGCGAGAGAGAGAGAGCGGGGGGGTAGAGAGAGAGGAGGGACTGTGAGGAGGATGCGGTGCTGAGGAAAGAGAGGGGCAGGTCAGGGGAGGAGGAGGAGGAGGAGGAGGAGGAGGGGGACATTGAAGTCGAGGATGTTCACGGGACGAAGACGGATGTTCGCATCTTAACCTTATTGGCTGACAGGTGGCGGCTGCTTTCGGCCAATCGCGTCTGACCGTGTGTGCGTGTGTTTGTGTGTGTGTGTGTGTGTGTGTATGTGTGTGTCCTCTCCTCAGATGATGGGGAACAGCTGCGATAGAGGTACCGTCTCCTCTCTCTCTCTCCCTTTCTGTGTTTCTGTCTTCCTGCGGCATGTCGCCTCAACTTTTTGTCTCTCAGCCAAAAAGAAGAAGAAGAAGAGGAGCGATGGCGTCCCGCACGTTCGGGAGCATCATGGCTCCTCTTCCTCCGCTCCCTCAGGGTGTGCATGAAAGTTTGTTCCCCGTCTCCCGTGCGGCGCTGCGTTGGTGCATGCAGCTGGAACTCGATCCAGCACTCTGCAAAGCTGATAACCGCTGACTGCTGCTGCATGCTGCGTTCACTGTGCCTCCGAAATCTCAGCTGTTGTTGTGCTGTTGCAGTGTGTGTGTGTGTGTGTGTGTGTGTGTGTGTGTGTGTGTGTGTGTGTGTGTGTGTGTGTGTGTGTGTGTGTGTGTGTGTGTGTGTGTGTGTGTGTGTGTGTGTGTGTGTGTGTGTGTGTGTGTGTGTGTGTGTGTGTGTGTGTGTGTGTGTGTGCACTCAGACTGAGTTGTTCATTTAGAAATGAAGCTGCTTTTCTGATCTTTGTGTTCATGTTATAACCTGAGTTCTGAGAGGGGGGGGAGGGGGCAACATGCAGGAAAGAAGCCACAGGACTTGAACCTGTGCCGCCCACTTGGAGGACTACAACCTCTGAACATAGGGCATGCAAACTAACCACTAGGCCACCGCTGTTTAACCTGTAAAGACTGAAACTGTTTTAACTCGAGAGACGATCGTTTGCTCTGGTCTGAATCATCGACCCATTTTTGTTCCATTGTTGCATAAGTAGCTCACGTTTGGTCTGTGTTCCCACCAGAGGACTTAAATCTGTGATGAGCCAGGTCACTGCTCTCTGATTGGTCAGAAGTAACCAATGACAAGGTGCTTCCTGATTGGCTGCTCCAAACACTCTTTACAGTTTCTAAACTGAGGGAGAAGAGAGAGTCGATGTGAGAGGCTTGAAGCCGGCTGGTGAAGTTTCATATCAGGGGAACTATGGCCTGATTTACAGAACAAAGTCGTGTAGCGCCCTCTGCAGGCTCATCCTGGGATTACTCCAACATGCGTTTACGTCCTGATCTGAAACTCTGACCACGTTTAGTTTAACACGATATGAGAGTTTTAAAACGGGGATCTGAGGAATTGTTGGACTTTAAAATCTGGTTTCATGACAACGCTGCTCCAGACATTCAAACCTTTTTGTAACTTCAGTTCAAAAACTCAAATCTTACAAAGTGTCTACTTTCTTGCCAAAAATATCTCATGACACTTCTTTAAAGTCTTTATATGTGATTTATTGATCCAGCAGATGTCGCCCTTGAGCACCAGCATGAAACCAAAACAACTGGCGCTGCATTGTTGTGTTAGCATGCTAATGCTAGCGATCTTTATTATGCTGGTATCTTCACACTGCATGTAAATTTACCTGAAATGAGCGTGATCTAGAAACACAGTTAAGCAGTGAGTACAGTATGTTATTCTTCTTTTCTCTAGTCCCTCAATTAAACAACTTTTATACACAAGGGGAGGAGTCAGCCGGCCGTCCGGGCGATGTAAACAAAGTGAAGATAGGACTCTGAAAACTCTGAAAACATCACAGACAGTGGGACTCGGGTGTTACACCCATTGTAGACAGTCATGACTCACAGAGTTATTTTCAGAGGATGTATTTGATTTCTACATGTGCAGTAAGTGTGAAAGATCACATATTAAACCTGATTTAAAATCTGCTTGAAGCATATTCATCATTTAGGCCCCAAAATATGTAAAAACAAGATATTCAAATATTGAGATGCAGCATTGAGATAAACATCAGAACAACAGAATCAGAGAAGAAGAGACACGCAGTGACACGTGTCTCTTTGAGTCAGAGCTCATCTTTAAAACTCTTTTTAAAGATCTTCAGTTTCTATATCTTTGATTTTCTGATGATGTCATCACTGGAGTCCAGCTCCTCCCTGAACCCGTCCTCCAGGAGATCCTCCATCACCAACGTGTGGCGCTGCCGTCGTAGGCGAGGAGTTCTTTAGAGCGGCCTTTGTGGCGTCAGGAAGGAGCGTCCCTGCAGCCGGACTCGTAGGTGGTTAAAGAGCTGGTTCAGGAGCTGCCGGGGGCCTCGGGGGAGTAACTGCAAGGACCCCGAGACAGACAGGCAGGCTGTGTGTCGTTAGCAGGAGAGGAAGCTTTAAAATCAATGAAGCTGGACCCGAGCCAGCTGTGAGGACGTGACCTTTCAGACCTCCACACGTCTCTGTTGTTTATGAACCCACCAGCTCTCAGTCTGTTTGTGTCTGTGCAGCGTGGATCTTCACTCCTCAACGATCAGCAGAGCTCAAGGAAGTGAACAGGCACCTCTCCAGCTACCACACCAATTTCCACATCTGGTCTCCACCTGGACTTGAACTGGTGACCCTCCGGCTCCTAACCCGAGTCGCTCCAGACTGAGTCATCAATAAATATGTGTTGGGCGTCTGATTGTGGACATTTTGTAAGCTGATGAACGTTTCACTCTCTGCTTAGTTTGTCAAAGAGACTTTTGTGTCATGAGACAGGTGACAGGTGTGCAGGAGAAGAAAGAGTCCATGGAAAGCTGCAGATAAACTCTAAACCACTTTGTGCAATTCAGACAGTGCAGGAGTTTGTCTGCAGTTTGTGGTGATTACAGTAGTGCTGTTTGTCTGAAGGGATGTAACAGTTCATCCTCTTGTCAGTGTGGTTTGTCCTTTTAATGTCTTTTTCCTCCTAACAAGGGGAGGTGATTGGAGCTTCTCCTTGTGTTGATTAAATGCTGCATCATGTTGGTTGTTCTATTTGTGTTGTTCAGTCTTCTTTTAATATCTACACACAGTCTGTTATCTTTTCACCTCTTTTATTTTCTGTCTTGGTGAAGACAGGATGTTTCTTCACCTCTCATTTAAAAGTCGTTGGTTCGTCCTCAATCTCTAAATCTCGCTCTGCAGCTTCTGACGCTCACCGTGTTACTGAGATTCATCTCTCACAGTACAGATGTGAATGTTGCCGTGGTATCAAACAGGAATCAATCTCATTACTGTGGTCAGCCTGAAGCAGACAGCTGAGTGGTCGGCCATGTTTACTGTGGTCAGTCTGAAGCAGACAGCTGAGTGGTCGGCCATGTTTACTGTGGTCAGTCTGAAGCAGACAGCTGAGTGGTCGGCCATGTTTACTGTGGTCAGCCTGAAGCAGACAGCTGAGTGGTCGGCCATGTTTACTGTGGTCAGCCTGAAGCAGACAGCTGAGTGGTCGGCCATGTTTACTGTGGTCAGCCTGAAGCAGACAGCTGAGTGGTCGGCCATGTTTACTGTGGTCAGTCTGAAGCAGACAGCTGAGTGGTCGGCCATGTTTACTGTGGTCAGTCTGAAGCAGACAGCTGAGTGGTCGGCCATGTTTACTGTGGTCAGTCTGAAGCAGACAGCTGAGTGGTCGGCCATGTTTACTGTGGTCAGTCTGAAGCAGACAGCTGAGTGGTCGGCCATGTTTACTGTGGTCAGTCTGAAGCAGACAGCTGAGTGGTCGGCCATGTTTACTGTGGTCAGTCTGAAGCAGACAGCTGAGTGGTCGGCCATGTTTACTGTGGTCAGTCTGAAGCAGACAGCTGAGTGGTCGGCCATGTTTACTGTGGTCAGTCTGAAGCAGACAGCTGAGTGGTCGGCCATGTTTACTGTGGTCAGTCTGAAGCAGACAGCTGAGTGGTTCGGGGATGTGAGATAATGCTGATGTGATTCACAGGATAAGTCAGAGTTGTAGTGTTAACCATGCTGTGCCCTCCTGTGGTGTTCTGAGGTACTGCAGGATTACTCTCATCATTAACTAAAGTTTCTCTCTTTAACAAAGTTTTTATTTTAAACAAACAAGTTAGCATTACATGTTGGCTTGTTAATGAGCTGCACACATTGAATACAGAGACTTTTACTGGGACACAAGTTGATGCACGCAGAGTTTCAGGGAAGCTACTTCAAAGGCATTGACACTCTGCAGCCAATCAGAAGCCAGTATTTATCCCAGTGATGATATGACATTATAAACTCAATCAGTGGCTGATTTGTTCATTGGATTTATGAGGAAGCAGCTGTCATTATTCAAACATCATCTGCCGTCCCTCCTCCACTTTCTCCACCACGTCTGAATGTCATCACCTCGTCCTCCATCCACGCCGCTCAGTTTAAGTGCTCTGAAGCCGATGATGACGATGATTTAAGAGAGGAGGGAGGAAGATGCTGCCTCTGATTGTCTAACTCTGTGTCTTTGTGTTTCTGTTTCAGCAGAAGTATCTTCGGATCGTTCTCCGAGGAGGAGGAGTATCTCCGGTCTGGGGAGTTCAGAGAAGACCGTCACTGTGGACAATCCCAACTCGTCTCCTTTCAAAGTGCCGGTGAGTCGCTGGAGCTCCGTCACAAGTCAGACGTCTTTCATTTGTACCAATTAAAGATCAGATGGCCCGTATGTGGGCCCCGTAATGTGCACGTGGTGTGTTCTTCACCACACAACAGCTGTGTGTATGTATGACTCCATACATCGTTTGAAAGCTTTGCTCGTTGTTATCACCACCATGTAAACCATTTCAATGTCCAACAAACACAACAGTCACAATCTACGCATCTGTCAGACCAATGACGAATAAATTACAATAAATTACTGTATATTGACTCAACGTTTGAAGAGTCCCCGCGATCCAAATCCAGTGAAAGAATAAATCCAGAACACATTTCATCCATATCGGTCCCCAGAAGGCCACTAACTTCATATTTCACTGTATTTCAGTAATTTTTCATAAAATAGGTAATTTTTCTCCACTTCCGACACATCAACATGGCGACTGCACTTAATACCCTCCAACGACGCCTCATTGGCCAATTAGCTGTTCCCAGCCTATAATAGCCAATGAGAGCCTGAGTTGAAAGAAGGTGACTGTCTCTTTTATGATGCATCTACACACACACAGGCTGGAACACACACACACAAATAGAGTCCTGTGGATATGCTAATGATGTCAGCGCTCGCCCACAGCGAGCACTCCTGAGCTGGTGGGGGGATTTGGTGCATTGCTCAAGAGAACCTAGACAGTGCTCAGGAAGTGAACAGGCACCTCTCCAGCTACCAGACCAATTTCCAGATTTGGTCCCCACCTGGACTTGAACTAGTGACCCTCCGGCTCCTAACCCGAGTCCTTACAGACTGAGTTTCTGCCCTTTGAGGCTAAATCAACAATCAAAGAGAAAGCAGGAGATTCCTGGACTGTTGTAGTCCAGACCACGCTAACTTGAGAAGAGATACCCGAGACCAGAGAGCTCAGAGACAGAGAAAGAGACTGAGTCAAGACCAAGACCATAATATCCCTGAAAAATCTTGTGTGCAGGGGGCGTGTCACTCACTTAAACCGTAACACCGGGAAGGTTGCAGACGTAACCGGAGGATAAATAAACTAAAAATCTAACTAAAGCCAATCAGTGGGGGTCTTGACCGGTCTTGATTTAAAATCCTGAGTCCACCCAGTCTGAGACTGAAATGCTTTTGATTCCTAGAGGAGACCGAGACCAAAAGTGGTCTCGAGTTTTGAGGACTACATCTCTAGATTCCTGGAGGGTCGTACTAAGTCTGCATGTCATAATGACTCTACTGAAGTGATGTGTTCAAGTGTCACAGGTTGGTTTACACCAACCATGAAAGCGGTCGTGTGTTTGTAAAAAGCTGTCGGCCTCTTTGATGCCGTCTCTTCAGCATCTCCTCCTCTTCCTTCTTTTGGAATAAAACAGGAGGAGTCATATCAGTGTCTGACCCTCTTTCTATCTCCTAAACGTGATTCTGAGGGCGAGAACAGCAGACTCATGATGCTGAGTGTGAGTGTACCTGAGAGATTAGTGCAGGTGCTGCTGCTGCTGCATGTTTCATGATGTGTAGAAACATCAATACGTGACTCTGAACTATATTTAGCTGACAGACTGAAGCGTCTCTGCTGCTGACACATCTCATCTTCAGCTGGAGGAGTGACTCTGTGTTTCTCTCTGATGCCTCACTGAATTAAGAAAGCTGTGAAAGACGACATGCAGAGACAAAAAAGAGACACAACCTGCTGAAGTGGGTAAAAATAAACGCCCCTCGAGAATACGCTCGTAATCTGGAGGAGAGGTCATCAGGAGGTCACTGTGATGACTTCAAGTAACTGTAGACAAAGTGTTCTTCCAGTGATCTAAATCTGCTGTTACAGATGTTTTTGAGACGTCTCCAGTAGATGTGTTTGGCCGATTGGTGCGAGCCCTTCGTCGGACAGTCGGATAGTTTAGCCCCCTACAGATCGTGTCTTGTACCCACTTCCTCCTCGCTCCGTGTCTGATCGGGAAATAAATGATCTGAAAGGGACGTATCAACAAAACAAACATGGCGGCGGCAACGAGAGCGTTTAACTTGCCGTCGCTCTCTTTGCCTGTTGCTGGAAATGAGGTTGAAACGTCATATCTAGAAGGCCATGTTGGCGTTTAATAGTGCTGAGTCTGCAATAATCCACAGCGGTCTCATTTTTCTTACTGCACAGATCAGATGCAGTAATCATGAAGCAGGATACAAGTATTTATCATGTGCATGGAAACACCAGATCCTGAATATGATCAGAACCAGGATCAGACTCATGACCCGGGTCCTCAGGTCCACGTTGAGACGCTCAGTGAGGACACAGCATGTTGTGTTCCTCTGCTTCCTCCGTTGAATTTGTAAACAGCTTCATAAAAAAAAACAACGCCTTGTCATCCTCTCCGTGTAGAAGTAGACGTGTCGGGTTGTGTTGTGATGGCGGCGAGGTGTCGTGAGTCAGAAGACGTTTGAGCTGAAGCTTCACAGGCAGCACGCAGGTCGTCCTCCGAGAGAGGCTATTTTTAGATCCAGTCAGACTTCATACAGTAAAGACAGACAGAGAGCATGCTGGGAAGTCAGAGGATCATGAACACGCCGAGCTGTCAGTCGTTTATAAACTGAGGGACGATGGAGTGAAGATATTCAGTTTGAAGTCTTCGACATCCAAAAAGACACGCAGTCAACGGTAATGAGACGAGAAAACATCAAACAAACGAGCTCCACCTCAGATCTTCTTCTTCTTAGATTCAAAACGGTGACTGTGAAATAAACAAACATCGTCTACAACTGGAATACGGTTCACCAACAGGACAGCAAAGTCAGAGTTCAACTGCGTCTAAAGGTCCCGACACACCGAGGAGGTCGTCGGCTGTCGGTCCTAGTTGGACCGTCTGTGAGCGGTCGTCCTAGTTATTGCGGTGTATTCGGTGCTGTCGCTACTCGTCGCCCTTTTTTTGGGCCAATTCGACATGATGAATCAGCGTCGGTGAGAGGAATCCCCCTGATTGGCTGTTCTATTCTCGATTAGTAGGCGACCTATAATACGAGTGGTGACCGAGTGACCCAGTGAAAATGGTCTTCTTGTATCATAACAACGAGCTACCGCCCCCTGCTGGCATGGAGAGTTATTTCCTCTCACACATGTTCAGAACGTACGTGGTGGTTGGCTGTCAGCTGTAGTCTTAGTGGTGTGTTCAAGTACAAAAAAAACCCCTAGTTCTTTGCCGTCTGCTTGGTGTGTCAGCGCCTTAAAGGGATACTTCACCTGTTGAAACATGAGTCTGTGTTGACATTGGGTCATATATGTAGAAATGTGAAATACATTTTGAAGTTGGTGCCTTCTTGGACGAGAAAAGGCAAAAAAATTATTTTTGGCTCATGTGAATGAAAGACACCAAATCCCAGAATGCACAGCACCGCAGGCCACTCCCACTAAGGTCCTCTAGTTCAGAATTAGAAATACTTTATTAATCCCAGAGGGAAATTCGATCGTTACAGTTTCTCCAAAATATAAAATATAGCAGTAGAAATATATTAATAAAAACATTTACAGACATATTTACTTCAACACATGAGACCGTTTCCTCAACTGATTCAGAGATTTCTTCCAGAATTGATCTTGTAAATTCCTGTCAGAAAACAGACTCTATGCCTGTGTCCATAGACAAACAGTGAGAGCACCGACACTACCAGTCCGCCCCAGCTCGAGCCGGCCCCGGCTCCTCGTCCTCACCGCCGCAAGGCCTTATGTCTCGGCTGCTGAGCTGGCAGCGGCCGGCGGTGGCCAGCAATGTAGCAATATAGCCGCTAGACGGCTGCTGCCGACAGGCCGGTCTTATGTCACGGTGGCCAGCGGTGGCCAAAACATAAGACCGGCCTGTCGTCAGCAGCCGTCTGGCGGCTATATTTATATTTTTTCTCCATTATCAGCTTTCTCCATAGAGCCTGTTAGCATAGCTTCCAAGCAATATGGCGGACGTTGCTTTTAGATTCTGGGAGTGAGTTCCCACCCACTGATCTGTGATTGGTCTGTAGCTTCAGTGGTCGAAAATATGAGGAACTAGCGTAGTAGTTTTACCCCGCTAACCACAACAGGAAGCTCCTTTTCAGACTCAGAAATACAAAGATTTCTCATCTCAGGGGAAAATGAGGGCGGGATGCACGACCATTCAGAAATACTACCAGGTTTCTAATGATACAAAGATTAATGCTAATGGATGAAGTATACCTTTAAATATCTTACATAAAAGCTTTTTCCTCTGTGTCGTGTCTCTAAGTGATCCCTCCTCTCTGATTGGCTCTCTGTTCTGATCCCCTCTCCTCTTTTTTTGTTTTCTCTCTCAGGGGTTTTTCAGTAAACGTCTCAAAGGCTCCATCAAGAGGACGAAGAGTCAGACCAAACTGGACAGAAACACCAGCTTCAGACTGCCCTCGCTGCGACCTGCCGACGCCGACAGGTAACGTGTTTATGTAACGTACTCGCTGCTGCGTGGCGTGACGGTTGCTTAGACCTGAGAGGCGAGGAGGAGATGACTGGACACCTGGGCGACTTTTTGGTTTAATGAGTGAGATCTGGTTTGGATTTGCAAAGGTTTGCGTAGTCAGGAGAGGAAGGCTGTGCAAGACGTCAGCCAGTCAGAGAGTGGAACAGGCTTTTCTTAAAGAGACAGTAGCTCAAACAGAGGAGGAACTCAGGGACTGCATGAAGGGAAGCCATCACAAAGACAGAACAGATTCTCTAATCTGTGAGTCGTGTTTGAGGATATTAATAACTGAGGAATTGTTAAGATTTTACTGAATGCTTTGAGGCACAGAAGAGTCTGTCCCCTGGTTTTATCTCTGACCTTTTAACCTTTCACAGCCTAAGATCATCATGTAAGGCCCTTTAAAGGCAACATATTCTGTAAAACACACTTCTCCATGTTCCTCTAACTCTAACATGTGTCTCTAGTCTGTCTACAAACCCCCCAATGATGAGAAAAGTCCATCCTCTCCGTCTTCTCCCTGCTCCACTTTTCAGAAAATGTGTGCTCAAACAGGCCGTTTGGAGATTTTCCCTTCATGACATCACAAAGGGCAGTAGCCCCTCCCCCAGGTGGGTGACACTCCCACAGCTAGGTTTTTGTTCTGCCCTCTGAGTCTGCCTTCTCACCGTAAACAATAGGACATGGAGCGAAAAAGCACCGAGCCACCCGAGCCCTTCCAGAGAGGGGGCGTGGTCAGACACAGCTCATTTACATATTTAAAGTTACAGGCACAGAAACAGCCTGTTCTGAGCAGGGCTGAAATACCTGTGCTCTGCCTCTGGTCACTTCCTGTCAGCACCTGTGTTTTCGATCAGACTTAAAGCTGTTTGTTTGCACTTTCTGTCACTTTCTCCCCCTCTCTCTCTCTCCTCACTTGTGTCGTTCTCACTCTCTGATGTTTGTCACTTTGGATAAAAGCGTCTGATACTCGAGTTATAGAATTGTAAAAGCTGTTTTTAAAACGCTTCATTTCCTGCTCTGGTTTCTGTTTCCTCCACTTATCCATCACGACTCTGTCTGTAACCCGACCGTAAGTATGCAGTTGGCAACATGCTCAGATACGGGTCACTTGCAAGCGGTAGTGTCCAGTGTTGAAAAGGGAAGCTTAACTGTAAAATTCTGCAGTTCCTCGAGTGTCCACTAGAGACTGACTGCAGAAGTGATTTAGTATGACCAGATTGGGTGCGCCGTATTGTCTAGCGCCCCATCAGCAGACGCTGTGGTCCTTGTTGTGGAGGCCGTGGGTTTCATAGTGACCCTCTCTCTCTCTCCTAATATTTCTGTCTCTCTTCAGCTTTCGGGTCGTTTATAAAGATAAAGCTCATAAAACATGTTGTGTTGAAAAGGTGAGATGTTTAATCAGAGACTCGGAGGATAAACTGCTCGTCTGTTTTTCAGGAGCTTGTGGGTTTTTTTTCCTCCTCCTCCTCATGGTCGTCTTCCTCCTTCCATTAACCCGCACAGACTTCCCAGCACTGACTGGAGGTGCTTTTACTGGCAGGCGGGCTCTCCTCTCTCCGTCTTCACTTCTCTTCAGTGTTTCTCTCTGCAGACGGCCTTTTGACTCTTTCTGGGTTTGTGGAGAAGAACTCCGGTTTGTTATCACTGATTAGTTTACAAAAAGCTTTTTGTGCGACTGTCTGTCCTGAAGGCTGGAAGATTTTAAAATGAAGTCATTTACAAAAATGAAGTCATACGAGAATGTGAGAACAGTCTTGGGGTCTTCAGGATCCCGGAATCAGAACTTGTTTTATACCACGGCAACAAAAATAGAAGTCTCACGATGTCTTTGACAGCGTTTCATTGTGAGTGTATTTGTGCATTTAAGGTCACCCTCACACTCAGAAATCCTAACAGTGACCAAGTTCGTTTGACTCCCAAAGTCCGGTTTATCTGACCAATGTGAGCGCTTCCTCGGCCGTGGCACGCGTTGAAGAGGAGTGCTTCAACACAACACAGTTCATGTGCGAGCACGAGTACGGGAACACGACGTGGACAGACTTCATGATGGAGAAATCCCGGAGTGTTCTGTCTGTATCTGATTTAAATGACTCAGAATAAAACTTAAAAGTCAGTGAAGTAGCGGCCATGTTCTCTGTGTTGATCTCTGACGTGCAGACGTGGACCTGTCCACCTGCGTCCGTCTGTCTTGGAAACTGAGCACGCTTCATGACCACGTAAAGTCGTGCACGTGTTGTATTAGGACGTTATGTATAAGAGGTCATCATGCTCAGGCCCGGTTAGTCCTGGAGCAGTGTGACCGCAGGCCAGCGGGGGGGAATGGGGAGGGGGCGTGGGGGATCGTGCTTCAGGACAGTACGGGACAGCTGGGCCAAGTGTGAGTGCTCTCTTAAGCCCAGATTCCACCAAGCGGTCCGGTTCAGTTCAGTATGGTACCCATTGTTTTGGCGTTTCCACCGTCAAGTTGAGAATGGTTCCAAAATAAGGGATCTGTACCGTCCTACTTTTTTGAACGCCTCTGTTGGGGTGCCAAGTGTACTGATCTGACCATTGACGGTCCCTTTTGTTTACTGTGTCCCTGTTCTTCTTCTTCTTTGTTGAACTTAATTAATAACGGGCTACACTGTGTCGTTGGGCTGCTATGATGTCACACTATTACACAGCTGACGCAGCTATCTCCATCTGGTTTAGACTCCGCCTCTCCAATACGGGGACGACTGGCTGTGGAAACGCAAGAGATCAGGGTTTACCGTACCGAACTGTACCAAACCGGACTGTACCAAACTGAACTGTACCAAACCGAACTGTACCAAACCGGACTGTACCAAACCGGACTGTACCAAACCGAACTGTACCAGACCGAACTGTACCAAACCGGACTGAACCAAACCGGATTGAACCAAACCGGACTGAACCAAACTGAACTGTACCAAACCGGACTGAACCAAACCGGATTGAACCAAACCGGACTGAACCAAACTGGAGCACTTACAGTGTGTGTGTCTTCTGTCGTATGAAAGAGGTTTTTCAAAGTGTTGGTACTTTACTCATTCTGTTTGTACTTCATCAAAACATCAGAGTTCAAATGGTTTTAAAACACGTGGTATCGTAAACATTTTGAGGAGCTCAGCAGAACGGGGATTAAAATCACAATAGATTTAAAAAAACATGATGTAAAAATATTCCTGACATTAAAACGACCTCCGAGTTCTTACGAGTGATGGAGCCTCTGCTCACATGTGTACAGAGTGTGTGTGTGTGTGTGTGTGTGTGTGTGTGTGTGTGTGTGTGTGTGTGTGTGTGTGTGTGTGTGTGTGTGTGTGTGGTGTGTGTTGTGTGTGTGTGTGTGTGTGTGTGTGTGTGTGTGTGTGTGTGTGTGTGTGTGTGTGTGTGTGTGTGTGAGAGAGCGAGAGGCTTTATCGTCGACAGAATGTCAGCCAGCTGGACAGGAGGATAATGCTTTATACACACACACACACACACACACACACACACACACACACACAGCCTCTCCCTGGTATCAGTCAGCTCGGAGCTCTAACTCCTGATGGACGGCTCGTCTTCTCTCCTCCGCAGAGCTCGAATAGCTCAGCTCTCCAAAACTCTCAGGTTCAGGTAGGTGTGTGTGTGTGTGTGTGTGTGTGTGTGTGTGTGTGTGTGTGTGTGTGTGTCTAAGTGTGTGTGTAGTTGTGCAGATCTCTGTCCTCGTTGCAGCTGAGTTTTTATTTGGGACGAGTTTCTGTGAGTTTCAAACTGCTGAGTCATCACAGGGGACGGAGACTCTACGGCGTCCTCTGAGGGACAAACTTTGTCGAATACAGCGACAGAGACGTGATTTATGAGCGAGTGCGGCGCCTGCTCTCGTGGTTTCATGTTGGACTTGATCTGACGGAGGCAGCGGCGCCTCAGAGAGCTCTGTGGTCGTGGCTCTGCTGGTGTTTGATGGATCCAGATCAGGACTTCCTTTAAGTCTCTTTCACACACACTCTGCAGACCTGACATTTCCAGACGTGGTCCAGGAGGGCTGCATCATGCACGCCCCCCCCCCCCCCGGACTTTAAGGTGACTCTTTCCTGCGGCCCCCGGTCGGGTTGAGTCGATGTGTAAACGCAGCCGATGAATAATGAGTGAGTGGGCAGGACGATGACGTCGCTCACGTCTGGTGGAGTTTCTCTGATTTTTACTCCTCGCTGCTCGCCTCAGTCGTCCGCCTCGTCTTTCTTTCTGATGTCTTTGTGTCCTCGTCCTCCTGCAGCGCGTCCTTTACGTCGGCTTGGACGTTAAAATGTGGCCACTAGAGGGCACCGTCTCACACAGACCTCCATTTATACGTTTACAGTTCAGAACCAACTCGCAACATGTTGGTTTCAGCTCATTCAGAGTCGACCGCCTCTCCAATGGTCAGGCTGCTCTCGGTTCATCAGGAGGTTTAAAACCCGCCTCAGCTCCAGCTCTCAGCCTGTCCTTAGGTTGACTGAAAGTTAGACTGAGACAGCATTTCCAGCACGGAGACCGCCATCGATGGGACTCCAGCGCCCCCTGCAGGGACAGACGGGGGACATCACTCAGGCTTCGTCCAGCGTGTGTGTGTTTCTGTGTGTGTTTGTGTGTGTGTTTGTGTTTGTGTGTGTGTTTGTGTTCAGATCTCAGTAAGTGCTTCCTCGTCCTCTGACAGCAGACTGGATCATGTTTCTGTCTTGATGCAGGAGACCAGCCCTTCCTGAAAGTGTGTGTGTGTGTGTGTGTGTGTGTGTGTGTGTGTGTGTGTGTGTGTGTAGTGGAGCGTTGCTGCTTAACAGGTTTGAACAAAACCGTCTTCGAGCCGAGTGATGAAAAGACAGATTTGGAAACAGAAGCTCTGAAACAACAAAGATTTTATTTTTTATCTCTTCTCTTTATCGAGAAGTCTCGTCATCGAACGCCACTAAAGCTTTCAAGTACTTGGAAGTCTTCGCCTAAGATCCCGAGGAAGGTCAGCACCTCCGAGGCCGTCCAAGGGGCGGAGCCACGTGGTCTTGAAATGACTTAAAATCCAACAGGGATCCCGGTGATCCAGTACACACACCTGGACTGTTTAGAAAGATTTTAAAATTGAATGCGTGTAAAAGATTGGAACGGACATAGTGGCTTCCTGAGGTTCCTGATTTTTGAGTCTTAAAGGTGACATTTCCACTGAAGAAGAGGAGGATATAAGTGTCAGAGCTCCTCACAACATGTGTGTGAAGTTTCTTGTTCTAAATCCACTCTGATCCTGTATTTGATCATGTCTATAAACCCCTCTATTTCAGCCCTGCTCAGAACAGGCTGTTTCTGTGTCTGTACCTTTAAATATGTAAATGAGCTGTGTCTGACCACGCCCCCTCTCTGGAAGGGCTCAGGTGTCTCGGTGCTCTCTCGCTCCATACACACATATCTTGAACTCTGAAAATACGTCCTGAGGTTTGTGGATATCAGGATTAGCGTGAAAGTGCTCGAGTTAAT